CCTTTGGCGTGTTCAACTTCGGATCTTGGATATTGTAAGTTTCGAAGGGTAATTTTTTAATTTTTTTTTTAATTTTTTATTAGGAAACGTTTACTAAACGTTTCCTTTATCCATTTTGTAGGATCAGAGAGTTTAAAATGGACGATCTGTTAGGTAAGTTTCGTAACGTTTCATTTCGTTACGAAACTTAATAATATTTTTTTTATTTTATTAGGAAACTCTTACTAACGTTTCCTTTATTCTTTTTTAGGTTTCAGGAAATTTAAGAAGAGGGTCTTTAAACGGTAAGTCTTGTAAGAAACTTTCGTTTTTTATCTTTTTTTCTTTAAGAAACGTTCTAACCGAACGTTTCTCTTATTTTTTGTAGGTTCGATTTCCGGATTTGGAATTTTGGAAAATGGTAAGTTTTGTACATTTTGTTACGAAACTTCCATTTTTTTTTAATTCTTTCTTTAAGAAACGTTTAACTAAACGTTTCATTTCTTTTTTTGCAGGTTTGATTTCTAGAAATATAAAATGGTAGGTTTCGTAACATTTTTTCGTTACGAAACTTCCATTTTTTTATTTTTTTTAATTAAGGTTATTAACATTCCATTATCTTTATTTTTTTTTATTTAGGCTTCAGGATATTTTGAATTCCGGATGGTGATAGGTAAGTTTCGCAACAAAATGTTGCGATACTTTAACAATTTTTTAATATTATTACTAATATAATGTTTTCTTTTTTATTTTTGTAGGCTTCGGGTACTTGGGATAATTGGATTAATTGGATTGTAAGTTTCATATTGCGAAACTTTATTTTTTTTAGTTTAAAACATTGTCTAATGTTTTTTTTTATTTTTATAGGTTCAGAGCTTCCGAGGTGTCGATTAGGAGAGTTAGAATTTAAAATGGTAAGTTTCATTGCGAAACTTTACCATCTTTTTTTATTTTTTTACTAATTAAACATTTCTTTCATTTTTTAGGAATAATTGTTTTCGAATATTCGAAAACTTTTTTTTTTATTTAATTATATCATCAGCAAGTTTGAAAAGCGTTGATTCACACCAGTATACGCGTTGATCAACACTAACTAGTTGTTCAACACGATTAACAATATTAATCAATACCCGTATACTAGAATATATTAACGCATAATGTTAATATACGCGTCGTTCAACTCTAATGTGTAGTTTAACACATTATGCATTGTTGTTCAACGCACTGTATATTAACACAACTATATATAAATATATTAATTAAATTATATTTATTTTGCTCACTTTAGGAACCGAACTGAACACCTTATTTATATTATATCTCACAATCTAACCACTGTACTATTTAATTTAAGTATGTATATATAAATATTAAAATTAATATTTAAAAAAAAATTTATTTCGGCATACTCTATATCACGTTTATCACGTGATACTGGACTAATTACCGCTGCGGACTGTGGTATAGCAAAAAAAAAATTAAGCTTTTTTTGGTAAAGCTTAATTTTTTTTTGCTTTTTCCTCTTCGTTCTCCCTTCCCTTTCGTTTTCCCATTACCCCTTCGTTCTCCCCTTCCCTTTCGTTTCGTTCTTTTCCCTTTCGTTCTCCCCTTTCTCCCCTTTCCTTTCATCCCTACTATAAAAGGTTTATCCGGTATTTCTAAAAACTCCGTAAAAAGGAGCCTTCACGGAACCATTCACAGAAAATGTAAATAAGTTAATAAATTCCGTAGTATAAGGTTATTAATTCCGGAGATATGAGCCTTTTACGGGACTTTTTTTTACAAATTTTTGGTGAGTTTCGCAATAAAACGTTGCAAAACTATTATTTTCATTTTTTAACGAAACGTTTTTAACGTTTCGAAATATTTTTTTTTAAATTTTTTAATCGGAACGTTGGCTAACGTTCCAATTATTTTTTTATTCCATTTTCTTAACGAAATGTTAAAAAACGTTTCAATTATTATTTTTTTTTTAAAATTTCTTTAATCGGAACGTTAGCTAATGTTCTGATTATTTTTTATTTTATTTTCTTAATGAAACGTTAAAAACGTTTCAATATTATTTTTTTTTCTTTTTTTTTAATCAGAACGTTGGCTAATGTTCCGATTATTTTTTTGATTCCATTTTTTTAACGAAACATTTTTTAACGTTTCGTAATATTAATTTTTTTTTCGTTTTTTTTTAATCAGAACGTTGGCTAACGTTTTGATTTTTTT